TGTCAATTTATTACAATCCAATTACTATTCCAGGTGAGTCCCTCTTATTGCAAGGGACAGGTTCAGTACTTAAAGTAGTTTTGAGGACAGATAGTTTCTAATCTGGAAAACTATCACTGTTTCAGAATTACCCTGACAGGTGACGTCAACATACATGACCCTCCTTACCCAGACTGTTATTGTAGCCCTTATTGGTATAGTGAGAAGGAGCCCTCTGTTGTGGATTTGAGCTCAACTCAGGGATTATAGACAAACATTTTCGGTGAAAACTGCAAAGCAGGGACCATAGTCAAGGAAGAGCAAAGCAATAAACCAAAACTCTGCAAGGAGGAAGCTATTTCTCTTTTACTGGGAGCACCTAAGGAAGGAATGCCAGAAGTCTCAACACTGTTTTTTGTGAACAAGTAAGCAAGCAAGCAAATAAACCAAAGAACCCAAACTCTGCTGGCAGCCGAGAGCAAGGACAGGGGAGTGATCCAGTGAAAAAGCACTCAGAGACGGGGGGGGCAATTTCCTGATGTTTGAGCATCTGGGTGAAGGAGTGCTGTGGATATTTAAGTTGTTGATTTTAAAGAAAGCCCAGGTTCAAGTTTTCTATCTTCATCTGACTCAACTTGCTTCCCATTAATAATAATTACTGAGAAAATCTGTATATTCCATTAAAAGAATGCCCACTCTAAACACATTCCAGTTTAGCTGCACAGAGAACTTTGAAGATCTATTCATTTACTTCTCAACCAGCTCCTGTCTACAGAGCTCTTTTAATACCATTCTTGATCAATGAGACAGATGACTGCATCTCCTGCAGCAAATCTCAATAGCGAACATGATACCATAGGCCTGTCAGATGTGGACACCCGACAACAGCAAGCAGAGGGATCATCCGTACACACTTTGTAACTCCTGCTTAAATTTAAAATTATGTTAAAACAAGAAGTTAGAATAATAGAAAAGAAAGAGATATCTAAAACCAAAAGAGAGTTGGATGTCTGTAGATGGCAGGGCTCCATATTTGCCTCAAGGCCACGGAATGAGGTTAGCGGGTTCCTGACCCACAGTACTTAGACATTTCCATTCTGTTGCATCAGCACCAGAACAGTTTGTGGTCCTCTACTTGCTGACGCAAATCCAGGAGTCTCATTTAAAGTACTCGGCTTCCTTGAGTTCAAAGATACAGTGGCATGAAGGTGGCAGAGGTCAGAGGACATGGGTTTCAAGTTCCTTATCCTTTGGCTCCACAGGCAAAGTTAGCATTAATTAGCAGCAAAGAGTAAAAGAAATAAAAGCTATTCAATAAATGGAAGATGCAAAACATACAGACCGTCTAATCCAAGTTAGTCTGTGAAGCACAGTTGGCTATCTTTTCAATTTCTCTAACAGGTATATCCACCCTGCAGCTCACAACTGAAGATAGCCAGGGATGGGGCTCAACACAAAGTCACAAACCTAAACTATCCTAAGGTGTGTGTGTGTGTGTGTGTGTGTATGTTAATATGTATATATTTATACACAAGCATATACATATATTGTAATCTGACTGCCTTGCTATGGTGTATAAACTTCGTAGATGAAAAGGTTATGTTTCAGTGCCAACAGGCTGCTCATGTTACAAGATGCCTATGCTGACTGATTTTGTGTCAACTTGACCCAAGCTAGAGTCATCAGGGAGGAGGGAGTCTCATTTGAGGAAATGCCGCCATGGGATCCAGCTGTGGAGCATTTTCTCAGTTAGTGATCAATGGGGGAGGGACTAGAGGGTAGTACCATCCCTGGGCTGGTAGTCCTGGGTTCTATAAGAAAGCAGGCTGAGGAAGTCAGGAGCAGCACCCCTCCGTAGCTTCTGCATAGGTTCCTGCCTCCAGAACCCTGCCCTGTTTGAGTTCTTGACCTGACTTCCTGCCATGATGATCAACACGGCAGAAATGTAAGACAAATAAGACATTTCCTCCGCAACTTGATTTTTGGTCATGGCATTTCCTTGCCACAAGAGAAACCCTAAGACAATGCCATTGAGAAAATAAATCTAGAAAGAAGAAAAGGCTGAAGTATGATATTTTTTATTTCAACTGAACTCAGGCTACCATGATTTGAACAAAAAGGCAAACAAAAGAACAGTGTCAGAAAAACATATGGAAATATTTTTATGATGCCTGTCTTAGTCAGGTTTAAGTGTCAATTTGACACAGCCTAGGGTCATCTTAGAGGAGACACCTCTGTTAAGATACTATCTAAATCAGGCTGGTCTGTGGACATGCCTATGACGGATTGCTTTGATTGTTAATTGTAGTAGCAGGATCTAGCCCACTGTGGGTGACGCCATTCCCCATGCAAGTGGTCCTGGTTTATATACAAAAGCTAGCTAAGCATAAGTAAGTGAGCTAGAGGTCAAACCAGCAAAAAAACATGCTTCTGTGCTTTCTGAAATAATTCCTTGTTCTGGTTCCTACCCTGACGTCTTCAGTGATGGACTGTGCCTTCAAAGCGTAAGCCAAACAAATTCTTCCCACCACAAATTGCCTTTGGCTGGAGTATTTTTTTTCTAATCAACAACATGAAATGAAGGTAATTCCTATCAGAAAACATTACTTTGATCATCTATGGACACTGCCAATAATCTTATGTGACCGCAATACACTCTCATTTCCTCAGCAACTTTAGAGAGTCCACATTCTATACAAGTTCCAGAGCTTCTCTTTGGTTTTGAGCAGACTGAAGCTTATCCTCAGCAAATTATGAACAAAAATTGTCCTCTGCTTTTCACAAACTAGTTCTCCAGCCTGGACTGATGTACTAAAAAATACCCTTTTGCTATGGTTTTATTTTAATTATATGTTTATGAGGAGAAAGATGCTAATTTGATTCCATATAATAATGATTAAATAAATGTAATTAGCCTTTGTTGTCTCCTTAAAGGGGTCACTCTTTGTGTTGTTAATCTTTGAACTCATCTTTGCTGCTTCTGTACAGATATTTGATGGGCTATGAGTTCTAGTCCCGGACTGCACGGTATAACATTAGAACAGATTTCAGTGTAACATGTATACTGTGCATTTGGTACTCAGTATCTAAGCTTTTCCAGTCTCCAGTGTTCATCTTCTTATAATGACCGCCATCCTTCCCTATACCATACTATCTACTTATTTTGGGCTTAGCATATGAATGAGATCACACACTATTGTCTTTGTGTGTCTGGCTTAGGTCATTCAGTGTCTTTGAGTTCATCCCTGCTGTCACACTGTGGCCACCGTCCTTTTTTACAGCTTTTGTGTTGAGAAAAAGAATAATTATTATAAAAGTCATTTTGATAGGATGCTACAAAATGGAGTCAGGGAGCCATTAGGACATAGGCCCAGGCATGACTCCAACTGTCAACTGCTTCCTGAAATGGGAACCTTTCACATGAAGCGTCCGCAACACAGGAACCACACGGCAATGCCTTTGTACTCTGAGCCTCAGGATGTCCATCACTCGGCAGCTGGACTCTAACTTTACGGGCTTTGCAGTTCAGTTTACATATTCTTTCCTTACCTTCTCAACAGTCAATGGCACAGCTAAGCTCAGACTTCCCATGCCTTTCTCAGGACCCTGATTCAGGCTATCTAAACCCGGAGTCCTGAATGGTTCTCCCAACAACTCCAGAGACAGCCTTTCTCCCTGATGCAGTTTCTGAGTCAAAATTCAGAGCCATTCCGCATCGGCCACATTCTCTTTATCCATTCATCCGTCAAGACACTAGTGAGTTGATTCTCTGCCTTGGCTCTTGTGAGACTTGCTGCACCAATTGTGGAAGTGCAGATTCTGGTGCATGTACTGACTTCATCAAACATGTATAAACATGAATACACATACATGCATGCAGGGAGAACAGCTGGTTTATAACCTGCAGCTCTATCTACTTGGGATTCTTTTTGGTGGTGGTGTGGAGGGGAGTTTTCATTCCCTAAAATTTTTCTCTATTCTCTCAATCTATTTCCCTTTATCCTTAGGGAGTATACATTTTGAAGCCATGCCAGGGTTTTGGGCACGAAGTGCTATATTTGTCACGGCTGAGAATGTGTTTCTGTTAAGGGAATACAGGCTCCCCTGTGGCTGTGGCCACTTCTGCAAAGCGTGGCATGGGTCTCGAGTCTGCATTCTGAAAGAGTAGATACAGTGTATGCTATGCAGATGCGTCCGATTATAGTTGATGTCTATTGTGAAGTAGCTAGCCTTGTCTGTCTTCTTGTGATTTACCATTGATGTCAGGTCAAAGCCTTGTCAAACACAAAGAAAGCCAGCCTTCTCCCAGCTTCTGGGTGATTATAATCCAACCTTGGAAACTAGAGTTGTATTTGTGTCGACATAGCATTTTGAATGTGTTTATCTTGTGGGACTGTCAGGACCTAGGATGGTTTTTAGGACAAATCTCTATGTCCATTTGTCTGTATACATACATATATATATAAAATGTGGTTGGCAGCAGCTGCACAGCATCTCAGGAGCCTCCCCTGCTAAGACCCACACTTATGGACATTTGAAGAGCAACAGTGTCACAAAGACTATCTAAACACACAGTCCCAGCACTATAGTATGTCAAGTATTAGATATTCTGTTACATAGGAAACATTTGAATTGGGTTTAGAAGCCTATTTCTTTTAGTAAGACTTCAAGTCTTACTAAACTTGATCAAGTAAGGTGATCAAACACCCGTTGTGATACGCTTCCTAACTCTATCCCTTTGTAGCAACCTAGAAATGAGCAATAAATAAACAACGTCAACCCAGAAATCTAATCACCAGTCACCTTACGGACCTGAAAGTTCTCACACCAGACCTTCAATTCCTTAAGCACTCAAAATAACAATGACAAAAAGATAAAAAAAAAATCACTGTCTTCAGTAATTCTCCAATCTCTCGCCGTTAACAAGTTTCATCCAAATTATTCAAGTTGAGTCCTTGGCCAGCCACAGCCAGGAAACAGCCACTGCCACTGATCAATGCAAATCGAAAGCAGAAGCTTACCTTAGTTCCTTGAAGGGGTCTGCTCTGACGTTAGGTGTTTCTATGGATTTGGGAAAGACTGTGCCTTCAGCTCCTACAGAGAAAAGACAAAATAGACATTGTGCATGTGGGGTCACGCAGGGCGTTTGTAGCATGGGGGTTAGAGCTGAGAGCGGGTACATTGACACTAGCCTCAGGGCTTCTGACAGGACGGTAGAATCGGTTCCTGCAAGCAACCCCTGTAAAAACCACGGACAGCTCCTGTTGTTACATCAGAGTGAGGCTAGGCAGCAACTCGGCCCCCCTTGATCTCCAAAAGAAAACAAATAGAGACATTTTAATTAAAACACAATTCCATTCTATTCCTTTTCCTTTCCCCTTCTCGAGCCCCTCCCGTGTTTCTCCTCCTCGCTCTCAAGTTGATAGCGCCTTTCTCAAATAGGAAAACTTCTTTGAAAAGATGCCTTGAAATGGGAAAGGTTAATTCTTGTCTCTTTAAATTATTAATGGTCACCTGACTGGAGGTTTTGAATGCAGCCTCCACGGCCCTCTCCCTGCAATGCAGTGCGAAGTGTGTCACATGGGATTAGACGGCAGTGTTTGCCGTGGGTCAAGCTACAGCTTTTTCTGTAAATTAAGCTGCGCATTATGATCTTGAAAAGTTATGCAAATGGACCATTATGGGAGATGACTTGAAGTACATATTTCTATGCTATTAACATTGATCCCCAGCCCGACTGAGGCATGCAGCTCCTGCTTGAGGCTCAGCCTCTGTCTGTTCCACTCGTCAACATCAGCTGAACCTTTCAAGCTCTAAAACGTCATGATCATCTCTCTGATTTTTATGCTCCCTAAGTGACTTCAAATCACTTAACCGACAGAGTATTAGGGGCAATTGCCCTGGATATTAGCTTTTCAATTAAACACAGCTGGGGTGGTATCCTGTACTTTGAAGAAGGTAAGCGCTTCAGATTTGATGTATTTCTTTGATGCTGGTAAGAAAGAGTGGAGTATTTTGCACTTACGTGCAACTTCCTAGACCCCTCTTGCATGTTTATGCTGCCTAGATTCTCCAAGTTTGCGATTATTACCTCATTTTAGCTTCATCCTGGGATAATGATGTGTCCATAAAAATGAATTTGTCTATTTACTTTTGCAGCAACTGTGAAAATATTCAATCTTATGATAGCAACAACAGACTGTTGCAAGGACAGTCAGAAAATAGGGCCTTCACCTCACATTACAGGTAGCCAGTGAAGGCACAGCGTGATGATGAGCAGATACTTTGAAGGTATTGATTTGGAGTGAATCCTATCGATTCCATCATATGGACTTGTTCATATTTCCTACAGCAAAGTATTGACTTGACATATTCAGAGCTAGGAACATAAGTGTGGTTCATTTCAAACCTTTCTCACTCTAAAGATACTCTTGTGTGTTTGCTTGTGTGTGTGCACAGGTGTGCTCACACATGCACACTCATGTAGAAACTAGAGTGAACACTGGGTGTCTTCTTCAATTACTTCCCACCTTATTTCCTGAGACAGGTTCTCTCGCAGAACTTGGAGAGTGTTGTTGTGGCCAGCCTGGTTATCCAGCAAGGTCCTAGGAGCCATCTGCCTCTACCTCCCAAAGCTGAAGTTACAGATGTTTACCATCGAGTTTGGCTTTCCAAACTCCAGTACATAGGTACTGGAGATCCAAACTCAGGGCCCATTGTTTGCTTAACAAGCATTTTACGCACTGAGCATCTCTGCAGTACTGACATTATTCTTGCTTTTTAAGATTCCATATAATTTCGAACACACTGAAGTCTGCATATAATGAAATCTATACATTGTTATGCAAATTACACAAGAATGTTCAACGTTTTGTCATGCATAAATTATTAATTTTGCCCCGGAGATTTCTACATTGTATTTTTGTATAAGTGTAGAACAAACTGGATTTTAGACTATCATGTAGCTTTTGTTAAATATGTACTAAATTTGTCTTTGAAGAATTTTCTCTCTTTGCTATGACCAAAGTTTTGGCTCACAGGGCTATCCAACATCTGACACTGTGCCATGATGTTACCACACACAATGTAGTCTACACGTGTTTGGCCATGTTCATAGCTGGCCCTGGAGCACATGTGACTCACGGGCCACAGACTGTATGTGCTTGGCTCATGGTTTGAGGGTATGGTTCCTTACAATGGAGAAGGCGTGATGGCAGGAGCTTGCTTATATCTGCTCAGTTCAGGAGACAGAGCCAAGGGGGATGCCAACATTCAGGTGGCCTTTTCCTTTTCCCTTTTTCATCTAATTTGAGTCCCTAGCCCCCAGGATGGTGTGGCTCATATTTTTCCCCACAAGTTAATTCTTTCTGGAAAGTCCTCGTAGGTAAATCCCAGTGTGTCTAACACTCTAGAATCTTCTTTAAGCAATCAAATTGACAAAAGAAATTAAGTATCACAATGGGTCTATATTTTGGATCTCCAGCATTGCTGGGATACTTGGAGAAGCATGTGGGACTTGGGAACTGTGAAACTACCAAGGATTACACAACCCTACAGAAGTCACATGGTGCTGTGGCTCCAGCTATGTGAGCCCTGGGCACACCCCTTTTCATCCCCTGTTCTGAAGAAACTAAATCACTGCACAGAGATTTCTTGTACTGAGATATAGCAATGTTCCTTCTAATTGTAGTTTCGCTATATCTCAGTAAGGGAAGGAGTTAGTTAGGTTACACTGTTGGTCTATTTAAACTCCAGTTGAATCTCCTTTTCCTCTACCTGGAATTCTGTAAAAGCAAAAGGAGTACTGTGTCTTTTTTAAGTAACCCTTACTAGTCTGGCTTATATGTATGGCAAATGTTCCTATCTATGGACAGCCTTCACAGCAGCTCTGACACTTGTTGCTTTCCCTGCCTTTATGCACACCCATACCCTCACTTCATATGCTATCTGGAATCTGCACTGTGGATACACAGTACAACAGAGGCTACATTACATCCCATTAGGCACTCCAACTTGAAGAGTGGCATTTTCTTTGTACCATGACTTTCAAACACCTGACCAGTTTCGTTGTCCCCAGTCAAACTTCCGCTGGGTCGGCTTCTTCATTAGCCAGAAACGACAATCAAAATTCACTACTTTAATTGTACACCTGACTTTCCTAAGTTCAAGGACGAGCTACTTATCTGAAGGTCATGGCTTTTGTCTCTGTTATTCCTCTGAGCCAGTCCAAGAGGGAAATAAGTGACCAGGATGAGGTGTCTCAATATTTTGCACAATAATGCTGTATGAAAAAGACAGTATACTCTGACCCACAGAGTTCAGGGCTAGTGTTCTCTGATCCAGAAACACCTCTGAGGTTCCCTGACTAGGAGAATGTCTTTCCCTCTGCCACATCCCCATTGCCCAACACAACCAAAGGCAAACAGTAGGCACTCAACACACATTTATAAAATGACTACAGCATTTATTGGCACCCAACAATACTACCCAGCATTTTTATGTGTCTTGCAGACATCATTCTATCTCTTCTCTTGCCATAGCATCTGTGTAAGTAGGTGCAGCTTCCTTGGGCTGCTGCTGGCCTGGCTTCTGATTGATGCTCCAATTCCTCTGGGAGAACTCATTTCCTGTCATAAGATTCCTTACATGGTACTATATATTTTAAGAGAGTGTCCCAAATTACAATTCAAAATATTATTTTAACTCTACCTATAAAATAAAAAAAAAACCCACTGTACTAAAGGAATATGGTAAAGGCTACATAAACCACTTCTTTAAAGTCAAAGGCAGTCAGGGACTGTAATCCCTTCCCACACCAAGAAACCACTTAGCTAAAGGCTGCAGCTAAAATTCACATGGGTCTCATAACCACACCTCTAGGGGCACCTGCAGAGTCTCCCATGCACATGTGATTATCAACCCACCTTTAGCTCCAGGGCTTTAGCTCACGTTACTCTGTCCATGCTAGGCTATTATTGAATATCAAGTGCCTCTCCCAAGCTTATGTGTTGAATGTTTTGTTCCTAGCTGTTGGTATTTTGGGAAGTGTTAGGAGGTTAAGGAAGGGCTCCCAGCCGAAGAAAACAGAAGTGGGGACAGGCCATTGGAGGCTATGTCTTGTCTTAACGGGGTTTTTGAGTCTCTGTTTCCTGCGACTTCCTGCCTGCCATGAAGTGTCCATCTTCTGCTCCCATCCCTGACTGCCATGCTCTGCCTTACACATCCACAGAAACACAGAGCCGAATGACCACACTCTGAACCTTCTGACGCAAGCCACAGTAGGACCTTCCTCTTTTAACTTGCTTTGATTAGGGATGTGCAGTTAACTAGTTAACCCAGGTGAATGCAACATCTACTGAAAGACAGGCCAACCAACACCAGAGGGGCATCTCTGTCAGAAGGGAGGAAAAGGCAAGACTTCCCATACCTCTTCACCTTTCATCATCCAATCTAAGAACCTCTATGTTGTTCTGTTCATGGGGCCCTCATGTCCTGCACACCAAAGGCCATGCATTTAGACCCGAATTTCTTGAGGAAGATATAAGTTTGCTGAGGGACCTTGAACATGACATATAACTCCCCATAATGCTCAGTTTTCTTCTTGGAAAAGAGAGAATATAGGTTGACAAATGGTCCAGTGGATGAGTTATGTGTCATGTGAGGCTGAGCATCTGAGTTCATCTTGGAAGTCATTTTAGAGAAGAAGATCCTACTCACGTACCAGTCTTCAGACATCACTACACATGATGTGGTCTATGCATGCCTCATGGTGAGAAGACTGAACATTTTAGGGATGTGCAATCTGTGTCTTGGGGACACAGAAGCAGTACTGTAGTCACAGCACTCACAAGCTTGAGGTTGGGAACTTAAGTTCAGCCTCAGTTTCAGACCCAGTGCTCTTATTGACTGCTCTGGAAGATCTTCCAGCAGACCCATCTGCTCTGTGCTTAGCCCTCTTTCTCTGAGTCTGAACAAATTTCGAGGATCATATCCTCAGGTGGTGCTTGCCTTACAGTCCAGTTACATGTCTTCCCAAACCAACTCATATCTGCAATGAGATGAGATATTAACACCTTTAAAAATCCTATTTTTAA